CGATGTTTAGTCATTTCCAGTACAATGCATGCAAAAGATTGCACAAACTTCCTTCAGTGACCTCTGACCTTTAGTGACCTCTGACCTCCTGTTGCAGGTGCGTGTGTGCTGCTGCTGTCTGCACTGACTGTTTCTGCGACTGTTTCTGCAGGTGAGTAGATGGAAGTGAAAACAATCAGTGAGACTCCTACAAGAACACAAGTACATTCACCCTCTGTGCGTGTGTGTGCGTGCGTGTGTGTGTGTGTGTGTGTGCGTGCGTGTGTGTGTGTGCGTGTGTGTGTGTGCGTGCACCTCTGAGTGTGTGTTGGTGTTTGGAGGTACAGATCAACCTGCTGATTCCTTCAATCAGCTGACTCCTTGACTCCGCCTCCTTCTCCTTTGCCTTCTTACTGAGAAATATGACTGAGAAACACACGTTCATTATCACCTTCATCAACACCTTCATCTCCACCTCAAACTTCATCCTCCTCTTCCTCACCTTTCTTGTTCTTCTCCTTCATCACCACCGTCATGCTCATCAGCTCTCCTCCGCTGAGCCTCGACACCTGCAGACAGCGGAAGTTGCTCTTCAGCGTGTTCTTCATCCCGATTTCCTTCTTCCGCTCTCCTCCTCCACCCTGGCTGCTCCAGTAGTCCACCTGCAGTCCCATCACCTCTGTGGGACAGCTGCACAGAAAAAAAGGAGGATCACGACTCTAATCACAGAGGAACGGCGTTCGTCTGGGAAAAAGCTGCGGGCAGGAAGTACCTGGTGGAGGGGGAGGGAGGAGGTGTCGAGGTGATGTTGATCGGTGCTCCTGATTGGGAGGGAGGAGATCCAAGTATGATGTCATCAGAGTCCACTGTGGAGGAGCAAGAGGAACATTTAACAGACATCAGAGGCTGTCAGAGGTCAAAGGGCATGGGGAAGGGGGGCAGGCATACCTGAGGTGGACATGAAGTTCTGCTCCACGATGCCGACCTTCACCAGCTGAGAACAGGCACACAAACAGTTATGTCCGTCACATACCTGTCACTCCAGAATATGCTTTACGTCCCTGCTGCTGTACGTTAGCACGTTAGCACGTTAGCGCACGTGGCAGGTGTAACGTTGGTCCATCAATGCTGAACCAGAGCTGCAGATGTAAGCTGCCATCAGCTCTTAGTTCAGCAGACGATAGTTGAAAGCACAGTGCTCAAGCAGAGAAGAAAAGCGCTACAGTCCATTCACCATTTTCAACCATGCTGTTCTAAAGACTGCACCTGCAGCACACACCTGTCACCTGTTTGAAAATAGTAGATACACCTGTGGTAGTCCACACCATCCGGTCACCCACCCTGCGGGGGACGAGCACACCCAATCAGCCTTTTACAGCTGAGGGGGTAGAAAGCATTGCAAAACCAAAAGTGTGACCTGCTGAGCAGCTGAAATCCAGCTTTAACATCCAGCAGCATCCTCAGCTTACAGACAGTTAAAAGAAGCTGATGCAGGTCGCTGTGAAACTTTATGAAACAAATCCATTTATCAGTTTAAAGACTTTTTTGGACCACTTCCTGTTAATTGAAGGTTTTGCACTGTCTTTGTATTTATACTGCTATACCGTGACCCGACGTGTTTGCCGTTGAATGTGTCATACAGGAACACGCAGGAGCACAGCAGCATTTCTTACCCCGATAAAAGGAAGAAACTTCTGGCAGGAGTCATCGTCGGGGCTGTGGAGCAAGAGCAAAATAAACCGATAACAGTGAGAAGATTGTTTCGTTATAAATGAAAGTTTCTCTTGCTGCAGTTTCTACGATGGCCACTGGGTGCTGCTGTGATTTGGTCCTGACTGAAAAGCAAACAGGAAGCGTTCAGCTCTCGGTGCGTTAAAGACTCAAAGGTTTTTATTGCCAATTGGCAGCACGTACAGGAGAATAGGAATACTGTTTCTCACCTTACTGCACAGAAGAATACAGAAAAGTAAGAGTTAAGAAAGATGAAGGACACTCAAACCTATGTACAATAATGCAATACTGCAAGTTTTTATTTAGTTATCGTCGCGCTCTGTCAGAAAAACATTATTACACTGGTACACGCTGAATTCTACCGCCAGCATGGCGTGGCTTCTGCTTGGGACGCATTGTTCTGAACAGCTGGGAGGATTTTAACCACAAATAAACGGGTTCAGAGCGACAAAGTACCAGCTGTGCTGCGGCGCTTTCCTTCAACACGGCTTTGCTCAGTGGCACCAAGTGTCCAGCAATCGAAAGCAGACCGAAGGCAGAACCATTACAGGGGTCAGAACTTGAGTGGTGGAGGCTTACAGCAAAGGAGAAAAACTACATTTGTGCAACAAACACAAAGAGGAAGTGACTGAAGTGTTTGATAAGCATTCCCTACTCTCCAGTCAGATCCTGATGCTGAGGGGAACATACCTCTTGTGTTTGCAGGTCAGCATGGCCTCGGAGATCGGACACAGGTGAGAAACAGCCGCTCCGGCCAAATACTGAGAAACCCGACTGGCTACACCCACAGGATCTGTCAGAAACAAACCACATCACATCCTGTGGTTTTTATCCTGGGTCCAAAAAACACTTGGAGAGGTTGGATTTGTGTTTGTGCGTTTGAAGAGATAGAGCTACTCTCAGCCAGAGCAGCATGCTTCAACCAGTAAATGACACAAAGAAGAGGCCAAACGACAGAGTCTCATCTCATATAAATGCTTGTTTTACTGAAACCAGCTCATT